TGCGAGAGGATGGTTTTCCGTTTTCTGAAATTTGATATAGGCTCCTGGGAAAATAAATTTGGTGTTGGAGTACTGCAAAGGGGGTGATTTGTCTATGTTTATTCAACGTCATGGAAGAATTCCTGATGCTACTGCTAAGCATTTCATGCAGCAGTTAGGTAATTTCTGCAAAAGAATTCGTCCTTGTTCTATGTTCTCTGTTTTGTTTTGGTCAGTAGAAATGCATTCTCACTCTTGATTGATTTTATATGTGATAGCGGCTGGTTTACAAGTTCTTCGTGACAATAATATCATTCACCGAGATTTAAAGCCTCAGGTATGTCTGATTTTCCATAGAAAGAATGGTCTTCTTCTCTTGTCAACTAGATCATGACAATACGTGAGAGCTCCTTTTTAATAGATTAATCACTTGGAAAGTTGAAAGGATGCCACTAGATATGATTTCCTAGAGTTTCTGCCTTAGAATAGATAGATATTTAGTGTAAATTGGAATTCAGTTTCTAAGGTTCTTTCGTTCTTGAAACAGAATCTTCTTCTATCCACAGATGATAATGATGCAGTTCTGAAGATTGCTGATTTTGGATTTGCAAGGTATTATCATCAGCTCCCTTGTTACGTAAACAATTGTGTAATATGATGCTAGAAGTCTTGGATGGTTTCTTGCTGCTTTTCATGTATATATACTATCTAGTTTTAGGTAATTGCATTTCTTTTGCCTGGGGGGAGTATGCTTAATACACCACTTTGAGTTTGTAATTTCCGCTAAAAAATCACGCTTTCTTAGCTCAGATCGCTGCAGCCTAGGGGCTTGGCAGAAACTTTATGTGGCTCGCCACTCTATATGGCCCCAGAGATTATGCAGCTTCAAAAATACGATGCGAAGGTGTGCCTTTGGTCTCTATAAGTCAAATAGACCTGTCTTATAACAATACCATATCCTCCTGCTTAAGATCTTCCTTGATACACAGGCAGATCTATGGAGTGTTGGTGCTATTCTATTTCAACTTGTGACAGGCAGAACCCCTTTTACAGGAAACAGCCAAATTCAGGTTTTGTATACTAAGTGCCATGAATTTCTAAAGATTTCAGATGTATGTGCTTAGTGAATGCATCATTGGCTAACATGCTCTCCATCTAATTTCCACAGTTGCTCCAGAACATTATAAGATCAACTGAATTGCATTTTCCAGCTGACTGTAGAGATTTGAGTATTGACTGTAAAGATCTATGTCAGAAGTTGTTGCGCCGTAATCCAGGTAAAAATCTATGAGAATAAACCCCTGATTCTACTAGCATAGGCAGGCCGATCAAATTCTTAGGAACTTTCTTGTTCACAGCTTTTGTTTTGTTAAAGTTATAACTAAAATTTGAAATATCAGCGTCTCTGCTATTTCACCCCATGCATGCCAATAAAAGTTGGGGGTTTGTTAAAAACTCTGGGTATTGATTTGAAATGGAGGTTTACAATTAATCTCTCTTCACCACCTAAGTCTATGTATTTGTTACAATTAAGAGTTTGATGGTCTTTATCTGGGATAGTTTAACATTTAGTTTTGTTGGAAATCTTCTGTTTGACAGTGGAACGTTTGACGTTTGAAGAGTTCTTTCATCACCCTTTTCTTTCAGACAGACAATCATATGACTTGCCAAGGTTGATGCGGTGGTAAACTATTTCGTCTACCGTTTGTGGGTTAAACTCTTGTACTGATTATGATTTTATGTTGCAGGAGTAAATTAGGTTCAAGAATTGTGGATGATTTTCATTCATCCGAAAGCAGTCCCTCAAGAAACATGGAAGAAACTTATCAAGAAGACTCTTTGCCATTTTTTGTAGATGATGATTCATATTTTAAACATACTTCCCCGGTGAGGTCATCTTATGGATTTAGTGTTGATACCAGAGGTGAGAGAAGGGAGCTAGCATCTAGTCCTTTAAAAAACATGGAACTTAATTCCAGATATAGCAGAGTCGGTCATAGAGCAGAAACCAATAACTTCAAGTTTGAAAGCCATAGATTATCAGATAGAAACCAATTCAGACCGTCAAGCTTGCCTGATTCCAGATCATTTAGTACGCAAGGAAGAGGTAACTGAATTTCTACCATTTTCTTAGCACCAGAAAGAATAGTTTGTCTTTGGAAAAGATGCCTCGCTCAGTTATTAACTATCATCGGTTCTACAGTAGGGGATTCGCCAGACTCGATGGATCAAGATTTTGTTCTGATATCTGAACCACCAGTGGATATACCATCATCTTCATCTGGTTCTCCGAAGCCTTTCAATTACCCATTTAAATCACGTTCTCCTCCTGTAGAGTTCATTAAAAGAAACGTAACTACTTCAACGGCTCCTATGCCAATAGCTGGTGCCAATGGCAGCAAGATTGGTCGGTTTGAAAGCTTGGAGAGCCCTAATTCTCTCCCGGATACATCCCGTGGATCAGTGGACCTTGTGGACGCTTTTGAACAGCCATCACCTCACAGCTTGACCAGAATTCAGTCTTTGCAAAAATGTGCAGCAACGATTGCAGAATTGGTTCATGAAAAGGTAAGCAACTTCAATTAGTTATATAATTCCGCACAAAACCGTTTCCAATGTGAATTTCTGAGCCTTTGCTTTTCATGCTTTTTTTCATAGACTGAATCAGGTAAACAGTTAGAAGCTCTCTCGATCCAACTGGTGATTCTTGCAATTTGGAACCAAGCACTGCACATCTGTCATACTCAGGCAGTCTCGGGTATAGAAGGAAGCCTGCGCCAAGACGTTAACAAAGTAAGAAGAAATATTAGCCACGAAGGATCAGAGAAGTTATTGTCTCAGATTCAGGGAGAGTTTGTCCAGGAGGTTGAGCGTGCTGAAGAACTTGCCAAGTTTGTTGAATCTGGTACGCATTTTCTTGGAGTAACAAAACTGCCAAGACTAATAATCTCTCATTTCTTTTTCGGTTGATCAGATTTGTTTAACCACAAAAAAACTTCATTGTAGATGATATAAAGATGCCCGATGCAATGGAGATAATATTCCAAGCAGCTCTAGCTCTTGGCGTAAGTGGAGGAGTAAGTTTCCATTTCCCTGATTAATAACCATCTGAAAACATATCTGGCTATTATTGTTTGCAAATTTCAGATTACACTCACAATTCGGAATTTCGGTTTCTGGAAACTGAGACGTGAGAATATGACTTATTGCAGGTAGATGAACTGATGGGAGAGGCAGAGAACGCAGAAAACCTCTACTCAAAAGCGGTGCGTTTGTTAGTCTTCGTTGTAGTGGAGGCTCAGACGCTTATTCACAATCCGCCTTTAACGCTCACAAATTCAGTACGATATCGACTCAGAACATATATTGATGTCCTCATTAGCAGAGTAAAACATCTTCAGTCACATAAAAGAACTTCTGGTCCTCAGAAACCTTGACCAGGAAGAAGGAAAAAAAGTAAACCATGACCATGAACTTCTGGTCCTCAGAAACTCAGAACATATATTGATTCTCTTGTTTGTTTGTTGAGTGTCTGTAAAAGTAATCATTTGTTTGTACAGCTAAAAAGATAGATCATATTCTTAATTCTTTTCAGGTTAATCCTAAGGGACTTGTAACCAAATTCTCTTTGTTGTGACACGCTCATCAATTGCTTCTATAAGTTGAGCTATTTGTTTTTTGTAATGTATTTGACATGAATTTGGTTAAATTTCAATGGATATACAAATATTTTACAATTAATACAGAGAGTAAGATGATATAAAACAGAGCAGAGACCAAAACTTTTTGCAGATACATATAATTCAGAATCCATAAATGAAATATAAAGAGTGTTACAAAGATCAGAGGTTGGACCAATGTAAGAGCTCTAGAACAAGGCAAAATTGTTTTTATCTCGAGAGAATGCTAATGGAGGAGGAACAAATTGTAATTCTTAAGACCTAAGAACTGCAACTACTATACACTGGAAGATTAAAAACAAAAAGCTACTACCAACCAAAGGAAAGAAGATGATGATCTGTTTCTTCTCCAAAAACTCTATAAAGCAGCTTACACTAAAAGGTATATGAGACTATATTAATTGGGGACAGGCGATAAGAACATCTTCAATGTCTCGAATGTCATGAAGGCGATGCCAACACCAGGAACCACTTTGTAATATTCTGGTAAGATTCCTCTGTATAGCCCTCTCATTCCTTCTGTCTTAAATATGTGTTTGAATGTTCCAAATAGTCCCGTGTTATACACTCGTGCTCGCCCACCAGCTCCTTCCAACTGCATTCTTCTTCTCACCAGGTCCAACGGAAATGTCGCTACATAAAGTTATATCGGTATATAATATAACAAACTTTCATTGTAAAGTAAATATACCCAAAAAGCCATGACCTTCTATGAGTAACAAACCTGTCGAGGAAGCAATTCCGGAGAGACCGCCACAAGCAAGACTAACCACTACTGGTGAATCACTAGGCCTAGGAAAAGATTGAAGTAAAAAAGTACAACGATATGATGAATTAGACTCTTATTTGAGATAACTCTTATTTGAGATACACACTCACTAGGCAATTTTATAAGTCAGATCCCAAAATAAAGAGGCTTTTTACCTATGCGATTCCCAAAACTTTTTCAGAGACTCATATGTTGCGAAGCTGATTGCAAGGCTTGGACCAACACCCTGCAATATTATACCAAAAACACAAACACATCAAAT